TCCATGTGCCCAAAGGAGACCAAGGCACTTCATTCGGTGGAACCAATCTGTTTATATCCCATTCAAATCACCGTTGAAACACTATCAGTACATGTAATATTCCAATCCTAAACTCAAACCCCAAAACCCTTTCGTCTCCCCACCAAACCCCCCCCCCAAAAAAAAAATTATTCACACGGCTCAATTCGCCAATCTTGTCGTCTTGCGCCAGGCCAAGTATACATCGAGGGAAGAAGACGAAAGTACACCAAGCCCATCCCCGTCCTTACAATCCGTATCAGGAAAGCAGGTCACTTGGGCGACTCGGATCTTTGCTGCGTGTGTTTGTTTGTCGCTGATGGTGCTGTACGTGTCTTTGTGGTTTGGGGGGAAAGTCAGGGGTAGCGGGGAAGAGGAGGGGGTGAGTGGTTAGGTTCAGAGATACTGTGTGTGTATATGGTGGAGTAGGATGGTGGTTGTTGAAAAGGTGGGTCTTGGGTCTTGTGCTATGTTTAGGCTTGTACAGCTCCTGAATCTGGTAGAGAGTGAAGACAGATGCACGATAAGAGCCATCCACCAACTTGAACTGGAAGAGAACCATGAATGCTAGGCGGAGGCTTCTCGTCTTCGTCTTCTACTATACATCGACCTGTCTCCCTAGACCATGGCCATCATAAAATGTTACAAAAAGCATACGCTTCAATCCTTCGCCTCTATACCAAACTCCTCCTGTACCTCTACTATTCTCACGCCTCGCTGATCCGCAATCAGGCCCATAAGCCCTTGTCCCACGTCCTTGAGCTCGTTGTATTCGTGTAGTAGTTTGATGTGATCCTTTACAATCTTGTTTGCAGCAGCCATTACATCTGCCTCGGTCGGTTCATCATGTGCGTCGTCCGCTTCAGCTTCGAGATCAGCGCTTTCCTCGATGAGGACTTGTATGGCAGGCATTTTGGCGAGAGAAGTGAGCAACGCTTTCTTTTGTGCTTTCAATCCAGCTAGAGTGATTTCTTGGGGCGTTTTTGGGGGTAGAGGATGTGTGGCGGATGGTTCAGCAGGCTCAACTGGGGCGAGCTGTGGCTGTGGGGTTGGTTTAGTGGGTAAAGCTGATGATGTGCCCTGGACTTCGTTATCACCGTCCCGGGTCCAAGTGGTACGCTGTTCAACAGACCGACCCTTATCTGCGTCCTGCTCTTGTGTCTGCTGTCCATCGGAGCTTTGCTCGAGGCAGGGCGTGACTGTCTCTGGAACGAGTGGCTCTTGAACGGTCGCAGACAGCTCTGGGGCTAGATGAGGTTCATACATGTTATGATCTGGCTCTATATTGTGAATCGTAGATGATTCGTCTGGCATCTCGGTTGTCACAGATGATGATGTTCCAGGTACATCCGCCGTAGTCTCAGACGTTCGAGGCATGGTCTCTGCTGATCCTTCTTTGCAGTCGTGATCCGTTCTGTTCACCTCTCCATGAGTCGCACGCTCTTCCAGCACCGTATTCGGTAGAGTGGCTTCTATCTAATTCATAATTTAGCAAGCGGAAGTACTACCAATATACCTTTGACAGACTGCAAGCTCATCTTGAGTATAGTTTTCCGTGTGACCATCATTCAAGTCATCCGCTTCATGAAACATTATTTCGGTCGACGGGGCTTCATTCGAGCTAAAGTTTATGTTCTGACGTGTTTCTAAGGGTAACGGCTGCCCATAGTGTGCATCGCTCGTCACATTTGCTACCACTTTCGAATTTTCGACATCGCCTACAGGTGTGGACATTTGGCTGTCGTGTTCAACATGCACAAGATCGTGCTTGACAAGTTCAACCTGACCTGCTAATCTCCTATAGTCGTTTGAGTCACCTTTGCTACTTGAATCGCTAGTGGTCGCTTCGGGGCTCGACATCTGTGAATTTAAGCTTTGGTCGTGCATTGCAGGGCGCTCTTCAGTGGTGGCCGTGTGTGGCCGAAGTGGCGTATCACCGAGCTTGAGATCTGGCGAAGATATTGCGAAAGGTATCTCCATATGTGCATGGCTATTTCCAGCTTCGTACACATCTCCTTGCTGTCGCAACGGCGCACTTGCGCACGTTCCACACTGATCATCATCAACCGGGGATTCGTCGACGTTGACAGAAGCATTGCCACCATCAGCGACCAAGTCCGCAGCTGCATTGGCGAGAACTTTGGCGGGCGCTTGGTAAGAGAGACTGGCCTTGGATAGCGCGTCTTGCCGGCCTTGGATCGGAACAGGACCGTTTGCAGAAAGCTTGTCAGTCTCAGTCTGCGGATCATCGGTATGGATAGGCGGCGAAGACGTCGTGGCCTCATCCTCCGAGTCTGGCACCTCTGTCCGGCCATCAGCCATGGCCATGGTGATGAAGATTCGAGGTTGGTGTTGGTGTTGATGTTGATGTTGAGGTGATGAAAGGCTGGTGTTACGCGTCAGTGGTGTGGTGATCGTCCCCGGCAGGTGGCGGAAGCCAATAACAGCCGCGCTTTCCATTCATGTAAGCAAGCAAGCGTAGTACATTGCGACACATGAAATAAAAGGAATCTAAACAACCACCCTTCCTTGCACATCCGGCCCTGTCACGCTTCCCCTGACGACGCGTCAAATGCTCAAGCAAATCTAATCATCTATTGTCCACGTCGGAGCATAGCCTTTTGGACACTGTCAAGTCGCCCTAGCGATATCTACGTATTCTAGCCCATCATCATTGCGGAACGTTGAAGACACGAAAATGTCAGTACGGATAAAAGGAGCTGCTATTGTAGTGGCAACGCTCCTCAGCACCACGGTCCTCGCTCATGAACATCATGAGGATAAAATAGAAGACGGCCAGGCCATCTCGGCAGAACCATTAGTGAGTGCCCACAGATAGTGTATTGTCGAGACTCCATACTGATGAGGCATGCAGGATTCGATTCTCTGGATACACATCTTAATACAGTCGCTTGCTTGGGGGATCATTTTCCCCGTTGGTATGGTTCTAGGCGTAAGTAGTTAAAGACGCCCAACCGTGACGGGGGACCTGGAACTGATATAGAGCTTAGATGATACGATCGAGATGGCACGTTCCAGTGCAGACCTCCGGCTCGCTTCTTGCCATCGTGGGCTACTTCCTTGGCCACAAGCACAAGGGTAGACAATTCACCGCGAATATCCACGCCAACTTTGTACCCTACATCATGCTCATGTTGATCGCCCAAGTCGCCATGGGCGTGTACTTGAAGCTTCACCTCGAGAAGGGCATCAATGGCAAAGTCCGAGGCATCGTCGTCAAGGCCCACGGTGTAATCGGCAAGTCTCTGCCGGTCGTGACCTGGGTCCAGTTTGTCTTCGGAGGCATCACCGCCCTCGGCTTCTGCAGAGCCGACCATACCGGCCAATGTCTTGCTCACTTTATCATGGGTAGCGCTTTCATTGCGTACGGCATCCTCCTGATCATCCTACTTCTGGTTGGCCAACAGTGGCTGAAACGAACCGGGAGGAGCCAGGAATTTTTCGACAGCCTTGTGATCGCCGCATGGGGCTGCGTCAACACGTTCACTGAACATCGATGGGGTAGTCCATGGGTGCACAACGATTTGCAGCACACGTCGATGGGTATAATATGGTGGGCCGCTGGGCTGGTCGGCGTGTGGCTAAGCCGCACAAGAGGTGGAAGACCAAAGAGGAACCTTATACCAGGTCTTGTCGTCTTTGTGACAGGATGGGCCATGTCAGCGCATTCGCAACATCTGCCCATATCTACCATGGTACATGCCACGTTTGGATACACTCTCATGGCTGCAGGAGCTGCCAGGATCATCGAGATCTCGTTCGTGCTCAAGGACCGCAGCTCGCTGAGGGCCGACGGTTCCGATCCCAACAGTTTTCAGTACATGACGCCGTTTCTCCTCATGGCGGGTGGTTTCATGTTCATGGGTGCCACAGAAGAGCAGATGCAGATGCTCTCTGATGCGAACATCACACATGTCTCATATGTTCTCATACTCGTGAGCATGGCCTTTTTACTATTTCTTTGTAAGTATTACCAAAATCACGTGATACTTGCCGAGCTAATACTGTGTCAGTCGTCAATATGCTCATCCATCTTTATGCCGTGCACGCATGGGGTGAGGATGTCAAAGCCGATACAGAAGCACCACGAGCAAACGGATTTGCGAACGGTCATGTCGGCGGACACCCTGGTGGATATGCTGGAGGTGACTGCATGTTTCGGGATGCTGAGGAGTTCGAATTGCATGGTCTTGATTCTGATGATGAAGACGACGATAAGTCCGAGGCCAAGGAAAGGATACCACTCGTTGCCCGCCATTGAACCAGCCTGGAATCCACATTTGAGTAGTCTTGCATCATATGTCGCACTTGAGCGATTTACATTCTGGCGTATAGTATTCTTTGCTGCCTACCTTGCCTATACAAGTGGCAGAGCAACAGATGTGTTCGATGAGCGGTCAGTAAACAGTGGACCTACAGCCTTGTTACATGTGATCCTTCTCATGACATGCACTCGCGCTCGGCACTACGGAGTCAAGCTGCTGCAGCCATGCCAAAGCTCACAACACGGTGGTACAACGTTGGTCTCGCCATTCGGTCACAAAGTCTCGCCATGCGTACGTGGGCATGCGCTATTATGAACCGTTGTTGAGCCGCACTGCAGGTACCGTGAGAGTGGCCACCAATACCTTCGCTTTCCCACAGCACGACGAAACAAGCCAATTCACGCAAGCTCGTTATGACACACAAGATGCCTTTAACGGCAATGCTCCGTGTAGCCTTGGACATGGTGGTCTGTGGAGCCCCTTGTCGACGAACCTGCTCGGCTTTAAAATCCTTACCCGACGGCAACCGCCTGGCCTTTTTGCGCACATTCACACGGCCAGACCCGCCGACACTAAGCTGGCAACGGTGATTTCGCCATGGCTCCTGGCTCTATGCAGCCTAAGGAATACCGGTTTCGGTTTCGCAGACCACTGTGTGAATAGCTGGCCCATATTCTGACGTCCTGCGCGGCTTTTGGTGGCGTCTAGAATGTCAACCATGGTTGCGCTTTCGGACCCACATGTGTAGCATGTCGAAAAAACAGTGACGATGCACATGAACGACTCAGACGTAATCCAGCGTCCACGATCTTGACGCTGATGGAGGCCCACGGGGTCAAAAATTTCATGGTTCGTCGGCGGTATATAAAGAGGTAGTGTGCGGGTGAGGTCCGAGGATCACAGACAACCAACAACAAACCCTACCAGTCTATAACAAAAGGCACAAACCAATCCACAACTCACCATCCCAACCAATCCAACCCCGAACAAATAAACCACCCTCATCTCAAAAACCCACAAAACAATCCAATCCACACCAACCTCAACCATCCCCAATCCAATCCAACCCACCCCTTCACCAAAAGAACAAGTAAACACAATGGACTGCCACCCCCGCGTCACCTCCCCCTCCGCAAACTCCTCCCTCACATCCACACCCCTCGAGCACTCGCGCCGCACCTCCCGCGACTCCGCCCACGACGCCCGCCACTTCCTCCAGCCCGAGGAAAAGACCCACCACACGCTCAACCAAAGCATCAAGAAGATGTGGCGGGAAATTAAACAACACGCTATTGAACACCACCGCAGCGTCAATGCAGCCTGGCAGGCTCAGTATGGCGCAGGGGTTTCTACTGGACCGCCCAATGTGCTTGAGGGCCGCGCGAGGGTCGAGCATAAGTAGAGGATGGGGGGTTTGGGGTTGCATGTCGATGAGGGTTTGGGGATTTGGGAGGGGGATGGTTTGCGGGTTACTTCATACCTCATCTTCATGGAAGGATTTTACTTTTGAAGACTGGCTGGGTTTATTGGTGAAGGTGGCAAAGTGAAATTGCTCTGGAAGCAAAGCGAGACACTCAAAAGTGTGGGATTTTCTTCTTCTTTTCTTCTTCTGCGAGCATTATACCCCCGTGCGATTGCGCCGAGGAGGAGCAGACAGTGGCTCTAGAGCGAACGACTGTTGATGGTGTACTTTTGATGGATTCGAAGCAATTCAAATTATGATTTGAAAAGATAAATACGAATTTTACATCTATTCACTCATCCATCCATCTCCCTCTCCCTCTCCCTCCTAAAAAAAACACCCAGTAGTCCTGCGAACTCCTTGCTACCCCCGCTCATGTGTTCAAACATCACGATTGGATGTAATACTGGTATGTACGTATCTCCCACTCGCATCTCTACATAACCAAAAAAAAAGCCACAGCCACATCTAATATGACAGTGTCAAGTAGGTGTCAAGGGGTGAGGTTAGGAGATAGTGTCAAGAAGAGAGAGAGGGTGCAATTGTGTACATTATGCCAACGCAATCTACATAGCACAGCACAGCACTACCCTCTAGCACGCAAGATCCGCTTCGAGATCCCCATCAGCATGCCCCACCACACTTGTATATACTCATACACCGCCTTTGCAGTCCATCCTATGCCAACCCACCCACAAACCAGACGACTCCGTACTCCTCGCCGAGAGAAGGAAAGTGACAAAAAACCCCCCTAGGAGCATGTCTCATGAAACAAAAAACAAAAAATACATAAAAACACCAACACCAACGCCATCGCTATGCACCGTCTTCGCAACAAAGATATCGCAGTCGGTCTTCTGTCTGCGGCACGGAAAAGCTGCAGGATATTGTGGTTGGTTGGTTGGTTGCTTGCTACTACGGGACCCAAGGACAGGCTCGGAAGTCAGTCGGAGAGCTCAATGGCGTCGTCTTGGGTTGTGCCGGCCCATGTGGAAGGGACTTGGGGTTGCTGGGCGGGGTGGTGGAGTGCAGAATCTGATTCGGATTCGGACTCGGGTTCGGATTCGTCTTGCTCTTCGTCATCCTCGTCATCCTCGTCATCCTCATCATAATCCTCAACCTCCTCGTCCTCATTGGATTCTTCTTCTTCTTCTTCTTGCCCATCATCATCTTCATCCTCGCCGTCACCTTCATCGTACATGTATGCATCCAACTCCGCATTCCCATGTCCCCACGCATTCTGCTCTCCATTGATTTCCGGAACATACGACGACTCGCCTCTCCTCCACCCAGCACTTTCACGGAGATATTCTTCAGCGTCGTACTGCGACACGGTCGGTGACAGTGATTGCATCTGCATCTGCGTCTCGGGTACAGAGCTGCCTAGGAACTGAGACTGCTGCTGCTGCTGTGCAGGCTCCATACTCAGCGGACGCGGTGTACTCGTGGCACTGGAAGAAAGGGAACCGTTGAGACCCCACTTCTCCCTATACTCTCGAATGGCTTCCGGTCCCTTACCGTAGCATTCTCGGGGGACGAAGCGGGAAGTGCGATGCCAGTAGGCCGGGGCGTTGGGACGATCGAAGACAGGGTTCGCGTTCACGAGGCTGGACCGGAAGGCGAATGATGTTGATGCCGAGAGTGATGATCCGAGGTTGGGCACGCTTCTTCCAAAGTCGTGGATGGTGTTTTTTCCGTTTACAGAGGCAGCAGGGGAAACGCACGTGGAATGAGAGGTGGACGCGACGAGCTTCCTCGCTCGAGCAATGACATCGCTCTCCCTCCTGTCCTTGGTAGTCCTCACACTGTTCATACTACCAATCGACTGTCCACTGACAGACTGCTCCCAATTTCCACGATCACCGGAAGCACTCTTACGGAATTTCTCTTGTATGGCCCTAAGGTGTGCGCGCTGACTCTCCACTAGTGACATCGACTGCTGCGGCTGCGGCTCTGGCTCTTGCGGCTGAGAAGTTAGGTTTTTGCCACCCTCCTCGGGAGAGAGTTTGGCGCGCTTCGGCTCTATTTGAAGAGGCGCATCGTCGTCAGAAGACGGAGAACCAAAACTACGTTTGCGGTGCTTGCTGGGGTCAATACCCATTGCTCGCAAGGCGAACCAGTCGGTCTCTGTGCGATCGATGGGGGCAGTGGATTGATGATAGGATTTCGAGTATCCGTTGACTGAAGCATTCTTGTTACTCTGGGTAGATGAAGTGACTGCCTTTTGCACTGCAGACTTTGTTTGCGCGCCGTTGATCTGCGTGGTGGAGCTGTCGGATCCCTTTCGTTGGGAAGCATTCGACTTCGTGATCGCGCCATTGGCAGTGCCGTTCTGTTGCCGGCCTCCACGACGTTCCTCGGCAGGCTGAGTACGTCTCGTGTCCTGCGCTAGAACCGGTGGGTGTAAGACTGATTCATTGGCCAATGGCTTGGGTGCTGTCACTGGCCCTCCTTCGCCACTGGCAGTCTCGACTTCTTCTTGTATCTGAGCCACTTGCATGCGGTGAGCCTTCAATCGTCGCCTCCTCTCCCTGGCCTGATTCATCTTCTTCTTCTTCTCGACATATTTGACAATCTTAGCCAAAGCAGACCTCATAAGCCCCAACTGGTATTCCCTGTATAGCTGCTCTCCCTTCCAATCCATCCTTTCCTTCTGAACTTCGTCCATGGCTTCTTCGGCAACAGTTCGGGTCGTGTTTTCCAGGAACTGCAGCATTAGTCCTTCCGACGAACCAAACATGACATCCATAGTCAGTGATTTCCAAGCCGCCTCTTTCTCTCGAGCTTGCGAAATCCGTGCCTGCTCTTCTAGCGCCTGGCGCCGCTGCGCCTCCCTGTTGTGACGTTCTCGTTCTTCCCTGACCCGCCGCTCCTGCTCCTCTTGTTGTCGTTTTGCACATTCCTGTTGCGCAGCTGCTTCCGCTTGCTTTCTCTGTTGCTCCGCCTCTGCTTCAGCACGCTTTTGACGTATTGCGTTCTGCGTTGCCTCCTTTGCCTCGGCTTGTTTCTGCTGCAACTCGGCCTCACGTCTTGCCTTTTCAATCGCTTCGCGCTGATCCTTGTCGATTTGCGACTCATGCGCTGGTGTAATTGTGTCTGATTGGGATAGTGCCCCTGTCGAAGTGAATGAAATTGCAGGCTGCAATGTCTCTTGTGAGTGAGCCTTTTGGAAATTAAAGCTGGCTGAGTTAAACGCAGGTTTGACTTCTGGTGTAGTTGGTGCAGCAGTACTCCCAGCTTCCTGAAGACCAAAGCCAGCAGATGTGAAAGCAGGTTTGACTTCAGATGCAGCAAGTGCACCGGTAGTGGTTGCCTTCTGAAAATTGAAACCAGCAGAAGTAAAAGCAGGTTTAACTTCAGGAGTAGCCGGTGCAACAGACCCCGTGGTTTTTTGTGCATGGAAACCAGCAAAGGGATTTACCGCAGGTGTCGTAGATGCATTTGAAGCGTTCAGGAATAAGTTCCCCGATGCGGCAGGAGTTGTGGAAGATGTGGACGAGACGGCGCTCCCGTTGGCTGCAGCAGGCGTGGAGAAGTGAATGGCGTTTTTCGAAGCATCGAACAATCCGGATTGGACGCCGTTACTCGTGGGTGCCGGTGTCGACTGCGGTGTGGGTGTAGTCCTTCCAAACGTGAATGGGCTGGAGGCTGGTGTACCAGTTGGTTGAACAGCGCCAGAAAAGCTAGAGGAGGGCGTTCCAGGTAGGAATGGATTCGCCGTCGGATTGAAGGATGTGGATGCAGTCCCATTCGCCTGTCTGTCAAATGGACCTGGTCTGCTACTTGATTCTGCAGCTTCCGGAATGAATAGAGATGGGTCTTCTGCCGAATCTTCTTCAACTTGCATGTCGCCTCCATCCATGACCAGACCCCTCGTTCTGGCTTGCTGCACCGACATACCCTGGATGACCGCCGAAAGCGCACGATCGTGGCGTTTCGCTTCTACAATTGAATCGGAGAAGATTTGTGGCTTGAGCTCTGCATCCGCTGAAGGCATGCCCAGGACGTGATTCTGATATCCCTTCCGGGTGAAGTCGAGGTAAGTATGTCCGGCCTCTGCTCGCTCGAAGACGAAGCCATAAGCCTCGCAGTGCTTTACAGCCTCCGAGTCATTGTCCAGACCGAGTGCATCCTTTAGGCGGCTAGGTGTCCAGCCGTCAATCGACTTTGGCACTCTTGAAGTACCTTGTCGATACGAACGCCAGATCGAGTCCAACACGACATGTCGCATACGGTTGAAGGAAACTTCTGCCGCACAGGCCATGAGATAGGAAACCCGCGGCGACTTGATCAAATCCCAGAAGTGTTTCCAGTTTGACTGGCACTGTATGATGTTTTTGTTGCTGGTGATGAGGACTGACTTGAGTGCTCGAAATATCTCAATGGCGACCTTGACCCGCGGGTTATTGCGTATGTCGCTTGGAACGCGATGCAATTCATTTTCGAGCTGGCTGTTGGTATAAATGGGGGCTAAGATGAGTTGATAGGCCCAAAATTCCGCCTCATTTTCGGAGGGAATATTGGCTCGGCGGTTGTCAACGTAGCGTTCCTTTAGGGACATTAATGTCTGATTAAGCTGCTCGATATCTTGTTGATGGGTATAGTCATCTCTGGTACTCCGCGCCATGTGATGAGCTGATAGTAGCAAGAAACGAGCACTTCGTTCCAAGCAGTTGAGGAGGATGTTGATGTCGGACTTGCTCTCGATGCGCTGGGTGCGGAGATCTTTGCGAACGGCACGAGTGCGATCCCAAAGCCACTGGTGAAGAAAGTCGAAGTCGTCATGATCCAGGCGCTCGTACAAGTAGTTGATGGTTTTCTGCCCTTGATTAGATCGGACCCGGTGGTCTCACACAATGTCCACTCACCAAGCAGGTGGCCGGTGATCGAATGTCGGACACCATTTCTTGCTCTGCGCCCGCTGCCGAGCGTGAGTATGCCTTGACCATGCGCGACTCGTCTGGAATTCGTTCTTTTCGCGGTAAATGCTCAGTTTCGATGGTCTGCTTTTATTAGACAAAGGTGTAGCTTTATGGCGTAGAGCGTGTGTCTTGGACGTACGCATTCTGGAGCTTTGACATCTTCTTCTACTATGCGTCGCACGCGCTCGAATTCGGGGCACATGTCAGTGCAGATACCGTATAGCTTGACCGAGTCGCTGAGGCGCATTTGGCCTTCTGGGTTCATGAGCCCATCGCGAACAAATTGGGCGCGCAGTTTCGGTCGCTGCGCTTTGATCTATATGGTATTGGCACGCATTCGGGCCACTCGTCTGTGATGGGGGACTTACGTGGTCGAGACGCTTCTTATAGTCGCCCATCGCATGTGGGGTGGTGTTCATTGCGCCGGTGGGGTTTGCGGTGTAGGAGTTCCTAGGGGGGCAGAGGTCAGAACAGGCCGCGGACGGCTCATGGGCGACCTTCTTCCTAGCATAGTGGGTGATGCCATGTCTGGTGAACGGGTATGCATCCTCGGTGACAGTATTTCCTTGATCCGCCAGCGGCCTGTGTACAAGTCAGAAGGGATTGGGGGGTGATGGCTTACGAGTGTGCTCCTCCTCGTCCACGCGCATTGGCAGCACTGTATGTGGTTGCGCCGCCTCGTGGGCCACGGGGTGTACGCTGGCCGCGGGTATAGACGCCTTGCGCAGGTCGCTCGCTGTTGATTTGCGCCTGGCCGCCGTTGCCTCTGCCGCGCCCGTTGCTACCTCGATTGGCCGTGTTGCCGCCGCGAGCACCGCGCACTCGGTCGCCCCCACGCCCCGCGCGTGGTGTTGACATGTTGGCGACGACTCAGTGAGGGGGGCTGCTGGCGGTGGATGGGCGTCCTCTGTCTGAGAAGTCGTCGCGTTTCCTGCGAGGGACAAGTTAATAACGTGGACCTAGCAGACGGTGATGCTGCGTGTCTGCGTGGTCGTTCTGCTGCTGCTGCTGCTGCTGCTACTGTTGCTGCTGACCGTTTCGAAGGTGGTGGAGCAACTGGCGGCTTGCTGCGAGAAGCAACAAAGGCCGTTGTTCGTTCGTCATGCAACGGGAATCCAGAGTCGCAGTCACCTTCCAATTGAGACACGCGCAGTTAGCGTCTTGGCGCACGTTGTCTCCTCCACACACCGAGACGCGCTGTCACAACACTGCATTGTGCTGTCAAAGCCATCACTCGCACCTTTGAACCACCGACTCCCAATACATATACATACAACGTGTTGGATCTCCCAACTTCAAACCTTCACAGACTGCAAATCGAAGAGGAGCGCGTCTTTCTGTGTGACATACCGAGATATTTTATTATGGATATATGCGACACTTTGCATGTCTTTTTTTCTTTCATGTACCCAGACCTCATCCTCTGCCTCGCCTTCCTAGGATAACTCATGGCGCCTCCGTCACATCCCATCCCAATCATAAGTAACGCCTGCACCAATTCCACCACCACATCATCCCTAATCCCACATCCAACTTTTGTACATGCGTCGGCGCACCTAAAAATATTCGAAATCACGGATCTCCTCCTGACCCATATTATTTAGCCCTACTGGGCGGCCATAATTTTCTGTATCAACTTAGTGCAATGCAGTCGTGAGCGGCGTGACATCGTGAAGGGGGTATACCGCATTCTTAACAGGAGACGACGGTAGGAGATTGACAGCGCCATGGGAGCAAGCCCCATCGGGTATGCCGAAGCAAACAGCAACTAGGCTAGAAGATATTATCGCAAAGGCTGTAGTGAAACAGCGACGTAAATCCGAAAAAGCAATGTAACAGCATAGCCGCCAGAAAAAGGAGAAGTCGTAATCGTAAGTCGTTATATAAGGCCATACAATGGTAGAAAGACAAAGAAAGGAGACTCGCAAAGGGAGGCAATGTCAAGTGACAGGGAATCAGTGATGATGCGAAAACTGGCTGTTCATCTCGAGATCAGCTGGCGGACCATGGAAGGACGTGTCAACCGGATGAGCTCCAGATACGGCCGGGAACCCTCCATCATAACCGTAGGGGAACCCATGATGATGAGCACCAGGCAAGGGTGCATTGAAGACGGCATTGCGCACCTCTTGCGGATAGGGCGTGTTGAACGCCGTAAAGGCTGTGTCGTAAACCGACCCAGAATCGAAAGCTGGATGAGCCGGGCCGGGAAAAGGCGCTACATTCTCCTGGCCATGGAAGCTATGGCTGTCAAAGCTTGGCTGCGATACAGAGTACTGCACGGGTTGGCTCAGGGCAAACATGTTGCACATCATGTCTGGATTGCTGAAGTGAGTGGCATCGACATATTTGACGTCCATGTTGACGTCGCCTTCAAGACAGAGACCGGTCATTGTGCGCTCAAAGGAGCCATTCGGAGTCGCCATCATAGTCGAGCCGCGGGAAGGTGTTGAAGCACAATTGGCACTAGTCAGAGCGGGTGCGTCTATTGGTGACGCCTGCAAAGACCGGGTCGCTTTTGGCGTGCGCTGTTGTCTGCGATATTGTGCACGCTCACGGCGTAAGAAGGTATTGCTGATGGTATCGTCGACCTCAGTATCATCTCCTGAGACAGTATCCTCAGACACCTCTCTTATCCGTGGGGCTCGCGATGGTACCTTGGCACGCTTTCGGTTAAAGGTAGACTGTCGGGGCGGCCTCGACACGGGTTGCCATGTGCACATTGTACCCCGGCGGGTATCCACATTTCCCCTGCCTTCGTACAGGTTGTACTGAGCGAGATGATCTTCATGGATTTGCGCAATGCTAAACAAACTGGGCATGATCTCGTTTAATGCCCGATCACGCATGCGTTCACTAAAGCCTGACCCTTTGGACGAGGAAAACTGCTCTGGGGGTGTAGTCTCAATGGCATACTGCGCTGCCTGCTGCAGCTTAGCCACCCAGGAACCTTTTCGCTTCGGCTCATCAATGGCGCGGTGCTGAAGCATCATGGTCACCGCTACTTTCAAAAGACCTGCAATGATGTTAGGTGTGGGCCATGCACTGTTCAGTGGATCCGGACGTACCTGTCTTATCGAGATGCGAAGGCTCTTCATAACGAACGTCGCGTGGCCACCAATCTGGGGTGCATTCAGGCGGCCTCTGAGAGGGCATTTTCTTGTGATAGGGGCCATAGCTACCTAGACGGCGAGGTTCTAGCTGCTTGATCCAGGCAGTGACAATGGGACGCAGGGGCTTCATGGTCAGCTCTTCCAATCTGCGACGATAGAACTTGCTCAACTGGTCAATATCACCGACGTAGAAGGTGTACGCAGCCTCGTTGGAGGTCCTGGCTTCATTGTCGTCGTCGAATTCTTCTTCATTGTCATGGTAAACTTGCCGTTGGTGCTGTGTCGATGGACGGGTGACAGACCGACTTCGCTTCAACGTCTTCCGCTTTGCTTGGACTGGAGCTGGGTATTGCACTGGTGGGCACGTGACTGGGGAGATTAGCGAGTGACAGTGCAGGAATGCATGATGAAATGGGTGTGTACCATAAGGACCCGGAAGACCCGGTTCTTGGGTGGGGACGAGCTGTTGGGACGGTTGGTGAGCGGCCCCTGGACTATAGTAGCTGGGTGCTCTCTGGGACGGGACGGACGGGACCATGCCATGCAACAGGTGTTCGAAGCCCCGAATCGGCTGGTAGCTGAGCACTTCGCGGCCATCGGGGGCCGTCACCTTCCACATGCCTTGCGCAATGGGCGTGGGCAGTGCAACGTCATCGTGTTCTTGCTCATCAGCTCCTTTTGGTGCTGGCAGAGCGTCGCTTGCTGGGAGAGTAGTATTGACCTGCTGGCCGGGTCAGCTTGCGGCTCAGTGTTTCATCGGGTCCCAATATTAGTGCGAGGGTGACAGGCGACAGACGGCAGGCCCATGCCACTGGGAGGTTACGGTAATTGGGTTACAGCCGCCGCTAACAGTTGGGCGCGAAAGCCTAGTCTGACGACCATGGACCACCCTCCTCTATCTCGACACTGGATTCAGGATCACTCACCGGCGATTCTCGACAATCGTTGCTGCGAGATGAACCAACAACCCAAGGATCTTCCCCAAACTCGTCCGTCGTCGCTACATTGCCGTTCTTGGGCATGATTGGCTGGCGTTCCTTTGACCGAGCTTGTCGATCTGCGGGCCGCGACCTCGCCATGACGACTGGGACTGCTATGTATACCTGTATCGGTAGCTGACCAACAGACGGTGATTGGCAAGATCTCCTGCGGTTCGCGAAGCGAAATTGTAGACGAAGGGCTGTTGTTGGCTACCAACACATGCGAACCGTGTCACCGGTTGACAGAGACGGCTTGCCGAGTGAAATATCTTTGCAAGCGTCAGCAGTGTTCCCCCGACCCATACTCGGCGCAGCTGGACCATTGTTGGGCTCAGCACTCAGCACGTCGCAGGAATGCATGGTGATAGGAGTTGCCTAGTTTGGACTGGGACTGCAGGCTGCGCACACTTCTTCGCTTAAGCCCTACCACCCAACCCAACTGCCAATGCTTACCTGATGGAGAAACACCACCTGGACCAGTACCCTGGAGATGCAGTATGTGTAATCGAAGAGAGCCAGTTGGCCGAGATGCTGAAAAGGGAAGACTCGGACACAGGAACAGGAGCCTAGTTTTGAGGTCGACGATGAATTAACGCTTCGGGATGCCAAGCTCGATGACAAGTGAAGGACCGAGTAGCGAGTCTGTCGAAGCAAGCAAGCAAGAGCCGATAGCGAGGAAGATGATTGGTGTTACGACCCAACTAGAGATCTCTTGGAGCCGGTAGAGAGCGTCTTTGTGTTGCAGACCTCAGCAGAGTCGATTATCTATCAAGGGTGAGGGCAGAGGGACAAGATCTCAAGAAGGACAGGTTCGATAGGACAGACTCTATTGACTAGGGCCGAGAGCTTTTAAATCAGGCCTTGGATGTGTTATAGCAAATTTCGACCAGGCTCTCCTGGCTTGCCGCACCGACCAGAGCAGTACTGTGACTATCCTCGCCCGTACGCCCACCGGCATGTGCCAGGGACCCCACCCAAACAACAGAGTGGCCTACATGGCACAGCAGGTCGCCTCGCAGTACTACTGACAGCCGTTGAGCCCCTAAACGAGGGCGCGAGCGGGGACCGGCTGGGTTCAGGCTCACAAATCTGCACATCCCCCTTCCCCGAGCGCCTCGCCGTGTCTGTCCCTAGGGTCCATCACGCGCGTGGATAGCAGACAAAGCGTCGAGAAAACGACGAACCCACGTACATAGATACGACCAGGGTATACAGGCGACTCTCCGCACACTTCAACCGCCTACAAGCTAGTCCACGCTTGTTGTGCATGGCGTCGACCCACCCATCACGCGGATCGCCGTAAGTACAGACAGACTTGTCAGATTTCGATAAGTGGATCTCGCATGGACTCGCTCAGCGAAATGGAGTACATACTGCACGGTCAAACGAAGATTCAGTACCAATTACCCCGAACGCAAGTAACAGGTTCTACCGTTCTAGTACTGACATGGCTTTTGAAATGCACCTGCCTGGCTCGGCCCGGTCGATGGCTCGCACATCTTGTATACAGGACTATAGTAGCTCCCACGTCGACATGCCATGCTTTACCACACTATTACCAGTACCTCAGGTATCGGGGCTTCTTCCACAAAGACGTCAGCGTCGGCCTACCTAGGCCCAGACTCCAGGATCAAGAGCATCCGCTTTGTGCAACCTCTTCTGTTGCAACAAGCCTCCTCCAAGGTTCTTCCTCGTCCACCATGACAGACTTACTCTAATCCCTAGCAACCCAGGACCCCTTCAAGAAGCAAGACCAATTTAGCTCCAAGTCCGACTCGTTGTGAGAGCACGTCAACCTGCAGCACTAGGCATCCTTCCCCCGTCCCCCTAGCATCGCCTGGCTAGCCATGGACCACGCATGGACCGTCTGCGTGTCTCAAAGCGAACCGCCCCCCGATTTCCGACATCGATTGCATCTCGATATATCTCAGATACGCGGCGAGGCCCGCCCGCCCGCTCTCGACCACATACCCGGCTGTTGGCAGAGATTGCGATCGCTGTGGACGTCACTCGTATGGACTGCAACTACACAACCTGTGAGAGTCGCCCGATCCAGCTAGCTGCTGCTCGCTAGCGGCTAAAGGGTTGCGCAAGAGCGGCATTCATGTGCGAGCGTGATTTGATTGGTGCTTCCTTCCACGATGCGCTAGGCCACTTAGCGACTAGACTCGATGGACATGGGCAGCTGAAGGATTCTCATGACGAATAATGATCTTCTCCATGAGCCTGCCACTGGCGAATTCGACAAGCCCCAACTTTGCCCTCTGCTCTCCCTCGAACGGTGTGGGGGAAGGGGAGGCGAGGCTCGACTGGAAATCAAGTCTCCAGTCTCCAGTCTCCAGTCTCCAGTCTCCAGTCTCAGCCGTCACACTAACCACCTCGTTTTCTGATCGGTCAACGGCCCGCACACTAGGCAGGTGCAGCTTGTGGAAGCCCTTCTGCACCCAGTGGACGAACTGATCGCAAGGAGATTAGGTGAACAGGGCCAGCCGAGCCAGACGACGACAGACGTAAACGCCCACGCCAAACCCCCATCACCACACTGCGGGCCCTCCGAATTTGTACAGCCTCGTATACGTACCGACGGTACATGGCCTTAGCGCGCCCACACGACAACGGTTCCCCTGCACGAGACTAATGGAACCCCCCAGTGCCGTCTGCACTAATCTCTCAAAATGGACATTGCTGAAGACTGCCCGCATGTCAGATCCGTATGAACCGCTCAGTGTGGCTTGCAGTTGCTTGGGTTGAAAAACGTTGAGCCATACCCATACATACTAGGTGTCCATCGTGCTCTCTCCGAGGCACGCTTGCCGCGACCCGCGAGTGGGAAGCGAAATGAATGGTGGCGCTTCTTACTTACCGGTACTCTACTCTAGTTGCGGCGGTGTGTATGAAGTAACAAGTTGTAATGTTTACAGCTCTATGTGAGAACGAATCAGAGAGGCTGGTAACACGAATGCCATGGACAGGCTTTGGAGTATGCGCAAAGCCTTCATTATCACGCGCATGCTTGTACGCCTTTCGACCACACCTCCTTGCTATCTCGTCTCTGGCACTTTAACATCTAGTCTACAGCACAAAATACACCCTAAAAAAGATTTCGTTGATGAGAGAGAGCCTGGTTGACCTTATCTTAACCACGGCAATAACCGCCACATTCTGCAAACAAAGTCAACCACGACAACCCAAACCTAAAGATAAATTTGAGCCGAACACAACCTGCAAAGCACCCCCCATGACTACCACGCACATTCCACTAATCACAGAAGCTTATTCCACGTACAACCCCACACTCCAAAGTATACCGATTCTAGCTCTATATGCTTTAACGCAACCCAAGCGTTAGCGCATCCAAGAGATATAACGTGCATGCCTAGCAGACGGCTGCAGAATCGAAACAAAGATCATCGAAACCTCATCAGTGATGATTCATTACCATGGTACAACATCCGCCTTTTTCACCGCACAGCCGTTGACGTGTACATACACCTCGGTCTGAAAGCGCACTCGCCGTTGTTTAACTCCCTCTTTCCCCCAGTCTCAGGGATATATGTACATAAGCTGTGTAACCACAATGGGCAAGAGGTTGACCTAAGCAGCTCTAACCATGCATACAACACTCGAGCCGCCGAGACGCCGAGAGATCCAGAGATCCAGAGATCTCGAAACTAACCGAAGTACAGGCGGGCGGTCGTGCACCTCCGCAAGTGCGTCCAACATCATGACTGGCACTATACAGCGTCTGGCAAAAAGAATAGGATATGGCACAAGGGTGTAATGCTGCGCGATGCGCAATAGTGCTCTGGGGAATCCAGCCGTACGCCCATCACTCTTACGGTAGCTCCCGGTGTGGATTGTGCATGCCGGTACTTTTCGTCCTTTGAGTGACGCCGTGCCTCGGAGAATTTTCTTACTTGGTAACGAAACGGGAGATGGATTGGTGGTGGCCGTGGCGAGTTTGAGATTAGAAGGGGACTCGTCGGCTGAGCAGGAGCTAGGATTGGAATTGAGATGGTGTGGAGAGGGTAAAGTGGAAGCGGAGTGCGTGCGATTGGGAGACGGCGATCAGGTAGGTAGGGGGGTTGTTAGTGTAGTAGTGTGGTGGGAGGAAGACAGGTACCGTTGCTGGTTCCATCATGAGAAGCACCCATGACAAAAAAATGATCGTTCTTGGCATGCCGCTCAGATGTTGCCATACTCACGATGTATGTAGTTACCGTAGATGCATAGTTGGACAGAACTACTAGGTACAAGTGGTACGATTGTAGCTAGATATACTTGGGATTATGAATATTCTAAATGCCTTGAATTTTATCACTACAGGCTACTAGCCTCGAGATGATGATTATGGCTACCGGTACCGTAGGCCATGCCAAGAGCGACCTTTTTTTTGGACATGGGGGTTTGGAAGGATACCTAATGGAAAGCGTGAACCCGAATGCGAATGCGAATGCGACTACGATTGCGCGTCATGACACTGTATTTGTCCATTGAAATCATGTAGACATCAACTGTCTACTTCAACACAACCGACAGCCAACATGACGATAGGAACAGCAACATCTAGCCAGCTCTGTACAAAAGCAAAAATCTGCAATGCATTATGCTACAATCTCCTCCTCTCTGTCTGCTCTACCCGTGCACTGTGCCATATTACTCCAGGCACCTCGGTTGCACTACCTACCTCACCTCCCCACCCTTCTCAAAATAAGTCAACAATTATACCAGTACATACCAGATATCCCTCACTAATCCGAAAACACCGCATTTCCACATTGCCATAGCATCTCCATTGAGCCCCCCCCCTGCTCCGGGGCCATGCATATTGTAAACCACATGGAGCAGGGTACCTACACATTGATGTGATGAAAGTATTTATTGAAGAATCTATGGAAGAAGAGCCAAGGTGGCTAGATATAGACATCCCACTAGCCCCAAATAGGTGTCTCCTAGACAACCCGGGATAGGGGAGTCGCTAATGCAGCTTGGAAGTCACCACCTTAGTATAAGGTAAGCACTATAGGTAATATAGAAATAACAGTCCCCTAAATCTATAGTAACTATAAATATACAAAGAAAACAAGAGAAAAACTATATCCCCTAGTCTCCTAAGTAAATAAAAATATTATATCTTATCTATAATATTTAATATCCTAGTATTAAGCTTCTTTAATATAGGCTATAGGAGCGCTTTTATATATAAGTCTATAAGATTATTACTAGATTAAATATATTTAATATTAAAGTTGCCTACTAGGAATTATTCTCTTATAAAGTAGTAATAAATATAGATATACTTTAACTATAGGTTTAACTTCTAGTCTTAAATAAGTGTAATAGCTAGTTTATTATTAATAAGCAGGTAGTATAGTAGTATAACTAGCAGGAATTCTATAATAGCACGTTAAGCCTAGATAAGATATAATACTACGTATAAGGTAGCTATATACTCTACTTTATATATACTTTAAGCAACGTAGCTCTATTACTTAGATAACTATAAGATAACTAACCTATTAACCTTAAGGATATAACTAGAGAATAATTTTAAGTTATCTAGGTCTAATATATATAATATATCTAAGTATATTATAATCTAAGTAGGTTATCTAGCAGGCTATATCCTAATTATTAGTTAGTAATCTAATATTGCGTAGATATACTAGAGCACTTAGAATACTAGCTTAAGATATCCTTTTAATAGATTAGTATTATAGGAACTAAGTAGGCTAATTATATATACTATATCTAGTCTACTTATAACTACTATAAAGTTAAGGGAGCTAATAATAGATTAGAACTTCTTCTATTAGTCTATATTAACTAGTATATCTATAGGTATATAAGGTAGGAATAAGCTAGGGTTAATAGGTATATGTTAACTATTATAGTTAGTTATACTATAGCGTTAAAGGATAGCTATAATATAGGTGCGTTAGTAAAGTTCTATATAATTATTAAAATAGTTAATTTTAAGCCCTAGTATTATATATAGTTATCCTAGGTCTTAAAAGTAGAAATAAGCCTTTATAAGATAGAGTATTATATTAATCTATTCTTAAGTACTAACTATAAGAATATTATCTATATAGATCCTAAAGATAAGATTACTTAAGATAAAGATATAAGGATTAAAGTTAGCCTAGAAGAAATACTAGGACTTTAACTATTTAGATAGGATAGTATACTATTTATATCTAGACTACTTAAGACTATAGAGAGTCTTAAGTAGGAATAGTGCACTATTAGATAGTAGTCCTAGTAGTAGTTAATAATAGATCCTGTGCTTAAGATATCTATTTAGGTATGCAGCGTTAAAGTCTACTTATCGCGTCTACTACCTATATAGAGTAGTAAGGACTAGGAGGATTTATAGACTATTATATCTAACTACTAGTAAGTATATATTATTATAGTTAAAACCTAGTTACTATAAAAATCCTTATACTATAAGTCTTGCTTTTCTCTTAATAATATTACTAGATTTATCTTACTTAGTATTAAAGACCTATTAAGTACCTATAAGCTTTACACCTAAAGGTATCTTATAATAGGGTATAACTTCCTATATACTATTTTCTATATAATTAGTAATTTCTTTATTAATAGCTAGCTACTATAGGGTAGTATAATTATTATCTATTACTTCTATAAATATCCTAGGAGTATCTAATAATATTATAGTAGTAGAGAAAGTTATTAAAAATAAAGAGATATATACTAGTATATCCTCTTTATAAGTTATAGTAAAGGTAAATAGTTATAATATAGTATATAATCCCTAGTATTACTCTAGCTTTCTTATCTATCTTCTAATATAAGTTATAGCTATAGGCGTTAATACAGGTGTCTTTTTTATACGTAGTTTCTTCTAGGCTAAAGTAGATATTTATAAATTTTAAGTATCTAGAGAGGAGGAATCTAGTCCTATCCTAGGTAGTGCCTATATAAAGAGATAGTTAGGGCTACTTAAGAGGTTGTGTAGTAGGTTTATTGCTCTAGACTTAAGCGTAGGTGTTTAAGGTGTAGATAGAAGGTTACTTATATCCCCTAGCTTAGTATTATTAAGAACTTTAATAGGAGGAAGTATTATAACTAATTCCTTAGGCTACTATTTTAAATATTAAAGCTCTATATCTAGATATTATAGACTATACTTAATTCCCTAGTCTTAAATAGTCTAAAATATCTAGGGAACCTATAGGATAAAGGTAATATCTTAGGATTTAATAATAACAGCTTATTATAGTATATAGAGATAGCTTGTCCTAGTACTATAACTATAGCTAATAAAGATACCTTCTTTAGAGTAGTGTAGGAGTTTAGTACCTAGCTTCTAGGTCTCTATAGGAATATAGATATGTCCTTAGATACTAAATAGTTAGAGGTGCTAAATAGATAGCTTCTTTCTAAAGAGCTATTTATGTAGAGTATATTGCAATAGGTCTAAAGAATATAGCGTAATATTCTTAAGAAAATTTGCTAATATTATTACTTTAGCCTATAAGAAAAGTAGATTATTAGATAGTATTATATATTAAGTAATCTAGAATAAGGTACAGTTAAATTACTCTAGAACGCTATTTAGCTTATAGTAGTAAGGTAGTAATAGCTTATAGTTAATTCCTTTAGCTTTAAAAATTTTTTAAAGATTATAACTAATATACTCTCTGCTATTATTAGAGTAGAAGGTTTTAACAATAGAATATTATAGGATATTATTACTTATCTTGTTATAAAATTAGGTGTTTGCATAGGCAATAAAATCCTTAATAGCTTAGGGTGTGTTAGCCTTAAGCTTAAGAAACTAAATCTAGGAATATTAAGTATAGTTATTAATAAAGGAGATATAATACTATAAGCTACTAATACTTTAAGTAGGTATTTTTCCTAAGAGGTTAGAATAAATAAGCTTAAGTAGCTAGGTATTACGTGGTGTCCCCTATATTAGTATATAGTACACTAACTTTAATTATTAATATATAGTATATATAAAATCCTTAGGTTTATCTAGCACTAGATATCTATTAGTATAGATACGTGATAGGTTTAGTACTAATAGATATCCTATAGCTTTATAAAAATTCTAGTATATTCTAAAGCCTTTGCCTCTATATATATATATCTCCTTCGCCTTTATTACTATTACTATTGCCTCTGTTATTATTATTATTAGGGCTAAGACTATTAATATTTAATTAGGAGAGGACAAGCTTATAAGTATATAGGTAGATAGTAATAGTAATAGTAGTTATTTAGTCTAGAGCTATATAAGGCCTTATATATATCTTGCCTATAGTATATATTAACTATATCTAATAAGGTACAGGTTATCCTTTTTAGTAAATAGCTTAAACCCCTTATATCTAATAAATATCTATAAGAATAAGTAGGTGCTATAGAGTTTAGCGCTATAAAGTATGTTAGTTAGTACTATAATATTAGTTAAGCTATTAGGGAGCCACAGGCAAAGTTAAACCATGCTAATTCCTTGTATAGGGAGCTTAATACTACTAGCTATAGTAATAGTGCCTATCTTTAGTATTAAGGATAGGAAGTTATTAGTATAGCTAGATATATACCTAGAGGCACTAGTATTAAAAAGCTATATAGGTAGGTTAATAGTAGTAGGTTAATAGATTACTATAAATACACTTACTAATCTAGTATGTTTACTATTTAAGTTAAGTACTAGGTATAATAATAATAATAATAGTAGTAGTGTTATTAAGTTAATATAATAGTAAGTAGAGTAACTAATAATAGTAGTTAAGCTATTAGAGTCTTTATCTAGGTTAATTATAGCAGCGTTATTTACTTTCTACTTCTTCTAAGAGCCTAATAATAAGAATAACTATAACTATAGTATAGTGCTAGCTTTTCCCTTTACTTAGTTCTCTTTATACTTCTTAAGATACTTATAATTAGGATAGATATAACTAATAAATAATAGGTTATACTTCTAACACTAGGTATATTCTAGTATAGAGGTACTAGATAATAGTAGTCTATTAGTATTTAGCTATCTAGACGCTGTTTATCTAGCTATATAAGTAGCTAAGGAGTTAGTAATATCTAATAAGTGCTTCTTAGAAATATCTAGGATTTTAGGTTTAATATCTTTAAATATAGTTATATTCCTAGTAGATAAGTTACTAATAATATTATCTATTATCTTAGGTAGAGTAGTAAGAAAAAATAAGCCCTTAACCTAATCTAAGTTAAATATATTATATATTACTACTATAATAGGCTATATAGATATTATATAATATTTAGCTATATATATCTAGTATTAGTAGAATTTATTAAGATATAGTCTAAGGTTATCTCTATTATAATAGTAGAGGTTTATAAGTAACCTAAAGAGCAAGATTAATATATTACCTATATCCCTATTAAAGTAGTTAGTAAGATACTTCTAGGCTTCTAAAGAGGTGTTATAGCTTACTATACTTATTATTAGGTTATTATAAACTAATAATAGTAGTATAACTAAAGCCTTATTATCCTACTTATCCTAGTCCTTAGTATTAGAAGGAAGTATTAGTCTTAGCTTCTTTCTAGCAAGGATAGGCTAAATACCTATATATCTAAATACTATAGTCTAGGCTAACTACTATTCTAGATAGTTCTTACCTTAGGAACCTAGTTTAGGTAATAAGGAAGGGTCTAGATAGAAGTTAAATATAGGTTTAGTAGATATAATAGGTATTAGGGGTAGTGCTAATAGTCCTAGGAGAGGATCTATCTCTAGTAATAGTAGATATAGAGATAGTAGTACCTCTAATAAAGCTATAGGTAGAGCTAGTAATAGTAGTAGGGACATATTAAATAGGTTAGAATAGGAAGCTATAATAATAGTAAGTGTTAGTAATAGATATAGCTAAAGTAGTAGAAGCTAATAAAGAGATTAATATAAGCAGGTACTAGTAAATAAAGCTAAGTATGCTAGTAGATAAGCTAGGCTTATAACCTAATATAATAAAAGTATTTATTAAAGAATCTATAGAAGAAGAGCTAAGGTGGCTAGATATAGACATCCTACTAGCCCTAAATAGGTGTCTCCCAGACAACCCGGGATAGGGGAGTCGCCAATGCAGCTTGGAAGTCACCACCTCGGTATAAGGTAAGCACTATGGGTGATATAGAAACAACACACATCCGTCCTCCTCCCCCAGCAAAGCCAACACTGCGACTCCATCTAAACGGCCCTTTTATTCAAAGAAAAAAAATGCAACACGCATCTCTTTTCCGCTTCTTTCCTTTTCCGTTCTTTTGCGCACTCGCTTGGCCCCGCTGTTGATGGCGACGCACAAGAGGTGCTGTGACGGCCGTACCGTACCGGTATAGTACTGTACATATGGTACATACAAACCTGCATTGTACCCCACGAGCGGTTGTGGTAGTGTATCTACATGGCTGTCTATACTCATAGCGTACTGGGTCGCTATCCACATGTGTACAGGACTCCTGACTTAGCGCGCGCTTGAGTGTGGGTGGGGGGCGCGTGGGCGGGATTAGGTTTAGGTTCGGGATGGATTGGGGTTACGGCGGGTTCCTGTTTTGGGAGGGGATGTCCTAGGTGGGTGGTTTGTGTTACTCTGTTTTTTTTTTGGCTGAGAGGGGGGAGAAGGGGTGGAGGTTGTGTGCTGTGGAGTGGAAGGGTTGGGAGGGAGGGCGGGTAGCATGGTCCTCTTCTCACTACTGACCTAGACAGCAAAT